TGCTGAACCCACAGCCGGCACCTGACTCTGCACCCTGGCCCAGCAGCACAAAAACAGCTGTCCCCACGGCACCATGCCCACATGTGAGGGCAGGGTCCAGAGCCAAGTGGCCAGGTGGGCTCACAGAAGGGATGGCCCAGGAGAGGCAATAAGACGGGACGTGCCATCACCCATCACGGTTGGGTGCAGCAGGACAACTAGAAAGAAAACATCACAGCCTCGGAAAAGCCCAGGGTGATAAGGATGGGACACGGTGAGGGAAGAGGACAAAGCAGACCTGTACAACTAGCGCACCGGGTAAAATCTGCGTGGGGACAAAGATGCAAGCAGCCGCTGTGTCTAAGTGAGAGAAAAAGGACTTGCTTTCATGTTCATCCTGTAAAGCTAGGCTTTCTGTTTGGGAGAGAGACACAGAAATCCTTACCGACCAGCAGGGACCACGACCGGATGCCTGGAGCCCTCTGCAGATGGAGGCGGGAGCTGGTGCGAGCCTCCACCTGCATGTACATCCCTGCGCTGAGCCTGAGCCGACACCTAGCTCCACCGATCCACAGGCTGCGCTGGGGAAGGACAGACACGGCTGGGGCCACCCAAGCCCCGCGTCCGGGCCCTCCGCTCACAAGCACTCTGACCAGGGCAGCCCCCACGCACCCACAAAGAGCCCACCGGGCCCTTGCCCGCTCTGTCCCCTGGAGGCCAGCCGCTCCTGGCAGTCTTCTAGCTTCCGGGACCTACCGGAACCTACCAGAAGCCCCTTTCCCCGCAGCTGCCTCCACCAAGAAGGGGAAGTGCAAGTCTCCTGGCTGGCAGGACCAGAAAAGGCCGCTGGACCTTTGCTGACCTGCGAGCGGCGTAGCCCCACACTGGCGCCCACCAGCCCGGCCAGCCGCCACCTGCCACCCCAGGGGCGAGCTGGTCACCAGAGCGGGTCCCAGGTACTGGTGGCCCCTGCCCCTCCCCGCTTCATGCGCACGCACGTGCACACCCACTTGTGCACACGCGCCCGTGCACATTCACACCTGCACACGCGCTCGCAGGGGGGTGCGCTCACCCCGCTGCACCCTCGCGCTGAGACCGCCCGGGACCAGGGTGCTCGGCTGCCCACGACGGCCGCGCCACAGCTACCGCACAAGAGCCGTGCAGCCTGCCGCCCCCGGGCTGCGTAAGTCCCGGCGACCGCGCGTTAGTGCGGCGG